CCGTTTTACAGAACTTCTCCTCCTTGATTCTATCGGTGACACCAAAAACGCAGGCTTACAAGTGAGTGAAGGTGAGATGATGGGTGTGTGGGACCTGGGGGGTTGAGTGCAGAGCAGACGGGCGACAGAATGTCAGGCTCCAGAACAACATTACAAATAGTTTAGAGCAAAATTAAAGAAAGAAACTAGAGAAGCCTACACACTCAAAAACACCCACCCACACATTCTCAAACAAACAAACACACACACATTTAAACTGTCATGAAAAATCCATAAGAGCTGAGCATCAATTGAATGTTACAAACACAACATCAATCCATTGATTTATATTTGTTTAATGAAAGAATAATAATGATAGACAGGATAAGAACTAACGTGTAGCGGGACTTGTTTTTTACCCCACGTGTTGCTCTGGCGAGGATCCCGCTGCAACACACCCGAGGACCGCAGCGTGCCGCTTTGGAAGCGTCAGGGTGCAGGTAGTATATTATTCTCGTTATGGCGTCTTCTTCTTCTTCTTCTTCTTCTCCATGTATTGTCCCCGAAAGGGTAAATCATTTTTGGAGAGAGCAGTGAGTAAACTCTTCTTTGTGAGGGAACGTAAACGCGTGGTCTTGGGTGAGACAGAAATGGACCTAAACAGCCCATCATCGGTTTGAGGTGCTACATGTTTATCGTAACATTTCTACCTAACATCATTTGTTTGATAAAAAGTCTCAGCGAGTATGAAGGACTCTATTTTTTATCTATTTAATTTATTATCTATTTAATCTATTTATTATTAAAAATGGATCTGATACTTAAATTCAACTATACGTCCAAGTTCCTTTTTTAAATATTTAGTCGTTCAGACTTTTCCAAGGTGCTCATCCCACTTAATAATACCAGAATAAATACATGAATGATTGAATATGCTTAGAAAACACACACATGTGATGAACAAATACAAAGAGAGAGAGCTGTATCCAGTGAAAATATCTTTATTGTCAGATCTGATGTACAGCTGCCTGCTGTTCAGAGAGCACCAGGAGACAATCTTCCGTCCTTCTGTGTCCTGTCCGGACATCCCAGCGTCCTTCTTCTGTAACGGCGAACAGAGGTCAAAAGGTGAGTGATGGACACAGACTGCAGAAGGCAGCAGCAGTAACATGGATATTCACAGAGGGCTCATGTGGACACTCACAGCAGCTGTAGAGCGTGTTGAGCCTGGCGATGTCGTTGCGGCTCATCTCCTTGGCGTTGCCGAAGGACACGTTGGCGTTGGGGATGGGGACCATGGTGGGCTGGTTGTTCTTAGAGAAGGCGTACCTGCAAGAGGACACGGAGCGTTGAGAGGGAACAGAAGCACAAACAAACACACACACGTGTGTGAAGACACAAAGCAGCGCAGAGGTGGAGCCGTTTGGTCTCACTTGTGGTACTGCATGACAGAGCCGTAGTCGTAAGGAGTTCCCTGGTTCAGGGTGGCGATCTTATTAAAGTTGTGCTCCATTCCTGGAAATCAAGAAGAAGAAGAATATAGTTACATTTGACTGGTTGTATAACTGCAGTGACAGAACGAGCTCCTGCTTCATGGAGGGTCGATGGTTTGCTGAGGAAGTGGTGTTGTGTTTCTTTCTGTCCACTAGGGGTCACCAGAGCACGACGTACTTCCACTCAAAAGCAGGAGATTGAACAAAGTTCATTGGTTTCATCATTTCTTAATTCTGAACAAGCGTTTTCTCCTTAGAAGTGAACTCTTTCCGGAAGCTACAAAGTGTTTTAAAGTTACTTAAAGACGTGAAGGGGTCATCGGGTACTTTTCAGAAGCGCACCAGAAGTATTTGGGAAGTATCCGAGTCTCTTTTATGACTGAATTGTCTGCAGCTCACTGGCTCTCCTCTCTAGTATACCAGAATAACAAACCGCTGCATTACCAGACACAACGTTCTGCAGCATGACCCTGATGTGGGTTGTCCCTGTCGGAGCGGGTCTGCTCGTGGTTGAAGCCCAGGGCGTGGAGCAGCTCGTGCTGGACGGTGCCGTGATAGAGGCATCCGCTGCGGGCCAGAGACACCACCTGCTTCCCACCGCGGCGGCCGACGTAGGACCAGCAGCTGGACGGGGTCAGAGATGGGTGGATGGATACGGGAGTCTGAGGACACGCTGTGGACTGTAAGCGGCTCCACGTCGTCTTTCTTACCCGTTCTGGGACTCGATTTGCAGCCAGTCGCGGTCGGTGCTTCTGCTGGGCCTGAAGCGGATGCAGGAGAATGAAGAGAAAGACTCCAGTCCACGCGTGATGATGGCCTGCTCACGGGAGGCTGGCAGGACCGCAGCACACAACATTCAGCTGTTAACCGTGAAACCCAGAGGACCGTGTGGGCCCCAAAATATCTGTGCGCGTGTGTGTGTGTGTGTGTGTGTGAGGGCCTCGCAGGCCTTTGTGTGGCGCTCACAGAAGTGGTTGGTGATGTAATAAGGAATGTAGACCTTCCCGTCAGTGAACTTGCCCCACTTGCAGCCTCGGCTGGTGCAGGGGTCGGCGTTTCTCTCGGCCTCGCTGTCAACGGCGATGTCTCCTCCGATCAGGACGGGGTCACCGGCGGAGCGGACTGAAACACATTACAGCAGCAGCTCAGACGCCCGTTGAAGCGCTGCTCATGAATATCTACAGAGGTCTGGAGGAACACGCGGACCTCAGCAGCTCACTCACCCAGATTACTGTTGGCTCTCTCCAGCAGCTCTGAGACAGAAAGGTCCCCGGAGTCCTTCTCTGCAGAGACACAACAACACACAGCTTGACGTTGTGTACAAATACAGCAGTCACATACTGAGCATGCAGGTACACCAGCTCTGATTATCAGGAGAGATCACGTACCTGCCTGCAGGTCCAGCGTGGGATCAGAGGGGGAAAGAAAAACACATTAGACACAAACTACATGACTTGGTGTGACGTTGACTTTTATCTGTAACTCCGTTTCTTATAGTGCCGTGTTCACGTAGACCGGTCAGAATTAGAAATTGTGGGACAAAAGTCCATCATTGTAGAGAATGAAGCTTTGTGGATAAAGTGCATCATCATCTGAGAGAGATGAAGTAATACTCAACACAGTGAACAAAGGTGCTTGATAACTCAGCACAGGCGTAAATAAATTCACTATTCAACCTCCTGACAGCGTCTTTGTGAATGTGGAGAAGACAACCGGCTTCATACGTATATATGAGACAGTTTGTGTTTTGATGGTGACAGAGGATGCTCAACGTGCATTTCTTTTCAACATTAGTCAACAAGTGTTGACTAATAACCAGACGCCTCCCTGCGCTGCCATATCGCCGCTCCTCTCTCCCGTGGTCCTACCTCATCGTCGGCCCAACAGCAGGCGGACAGCAGCAGCAGAGCCACAGCTGAGAACCTGAACACGGACATGCGAGCCATCCTCAGTAGACCTGTGGGACAGAGACAGCAGTCAGCTTCAGCTCAGAGGAAAGATCCAGTGTGAGAACCAACAAGAAATAAAACCGACCGCAGAAAGAAAGTGCAGACTTCTGTGTTTCATATGAGCTGCAGATATTTACAGCTGAACTCACCTTGGATCCTTTGGGGGACTTGTGCAGCTCAGGTTTCCTTCCAGGTTTTTATATGTGTGTTTGACTACGTCATTGAGACCAAATATGGATTATCTTGTTTTAAAGAAAGCAGAGACAGCAAAATCCACAGGCTTATCAGTCATATAACGTCCATACACATGGACAGAAGGAAATGTACCAATACTACTAAGCGTGAGAAAAAGGACACGTGTTTCAGTGAACATATTATATAAAAGGGAAAAATTCTCCCTATTAAGTGGACTGTAATTATTTACTGTGGTGCAGCGGTTCCCAAACTCAAGAGTGCCGCGGCCCAATTTGAAATCTGAAAATCTTTCGCGGCCCACCCAAACCTTTAATCACAACTCTGATCAAATCATAATGATTAAATGACCTTAAGAATTTAACCAAAATCAAACATCCGCAAGCAAAAGTTCGTCTCCGCGAGGTATTTGCTCGCTTGCGAAACATTTGTTGAACAACGACAGGCGGACAAGAGCAGCCGTTTCCAGCGAGGCCTTATTGTTTTATTAATCTATCCGTTTAAATTGTTTGTGCTTCATCAACTAATGTTTCACGTAACTAATGTGCCGAATCATAAATATTTTTATATTAATTTCAAACTTTTAAAAATTGAAAATTAAAAAACTATTTATTGTAAATGCCATCACCATTTTGCCTCAGAAGGCTGTACAACGTATAACTTCCTTAGTCCTTGGCCCTTCACATCAGATAAGGACACCCAATGGATGTCCACAAGATGAGTCCGGTCGCTCACAAGAGCATGTTAATAATAAATGTTCCCAGGGTGGATGGACAAAAAAAAAGCTTCAAAGTATACATTACAAAAGGATGGCAAATTGTGAAAACTCCTGTTTCCATAGATAATAATGCATGAATAGAGGAATTGATTGACCAAGCCCTACAGGCGAGTGCGGCTGCTGTATGGGAGCGTTTGGCCTACGGCCAGAAAGGCGGCTTATCTACTAGTGTGGGTTTATCAGGAAGGCCCTACAGCGAATGAAGGCCACCGACGTGAGAATGAGGGTAATAATAACCATCAGTAGGATAGATAGCCGGCAAGCTCGACTGCATGTTAGAGGCTGCATGTTAAATTATGGCAGAACATGCCATACATGCCAGAACATTTTGTTCCATCCGTAAGAGCAACACACATAGCAACGTATATAAAGTATTTTTATCTCCCGTCGTCAGGGCACCATAATTCTATGAGAGCATGAAAACATCCACATGTGAGATAAAATCCTATTTAACCTCCAGTAGTCTTGTTCACATGCAGAGTTGGGTGAATTCAAAAGTAATGTGTGGGTAGAGGATAACATCTCTGCCACTGGCAATTGCTGGGAACAAGGTCATTTTCTTGGGTATAACGTATCTTTGATTGAAATATAGAACAAACACACACGGGCTGATGTAAAATGTGTGAACACATGTTTTATTCATTATTAGTAGAAGTATCAAGCATAGAAGCAGTTAGTTATGGACGGGGACATTTCTGTTGATTTCTGTCATTTCTTTTTTTTTCTTCATAGGACAGCACAAGCTAATTTGATTAAATTCTTAATTAAAGCAAATTCATTAAGCACAAGATGTATTTCTGCTTTTGCTAGAAGAAGTTACTTCGCGTGGCCTCATTTCGTCTTGATTTCCTGTTGGAAGAAAATGGGAATTGTTCAAATTGTTGCATGAATCTGCGCACATGTGCACATCGCGGGGAATGTTTAAAACAAAAGTTTTTAAAGGGGCCGTTTACAATAAAAGCTGTGTGTTTCCCCCTTAGACGTAGTGCCGTTTGGTTGAGACCAGCTTAAATATTGGCTAAATACATTTAAAAACGGCACGAATAATTCATATACGCAAAGGTTTTCATATGTTTTTTTTTTATTGCCATAAAGTCCCATTATGTTGGAGAGATGAAAGACATCCGTTCTCATTCTCTTGTGTAATTGTTTTCATGTATTCGTATGCCACCGAGGGGCTTTGCTTACAACCTCTCACTAAGTGAAGAAAGCAGTTTCAAGGCGCCTCATGTACAAATTGACATACGCTCTACATCACAGGTTGGTAGAAAATGCCTGTGTATCATTTGCCCTCTTAGAATGGATGAATGCAAGTTTACCACAATATAATGAATAAGCAATAAATAAAAGCTCCTGAAAACGCCTAAAGAGATACACACAGGCACATGTGAATATGACACTTACTTTACATCGCGTTGGCAATAGCACGGCGGACCTTCATCTCTAGAGGAAATGGTTTCTATGCATGGGTTTCAGGTCAGGCCTGAACGCAGTCGAATCTGAAATAAATTCAAAGAGACGGAAATGGATATAAACAAATCTAGGTTTTTATCTGTGTTCATTCCAACTTATGTATGTACGTGTGTCTGTGGGTGTTCGGATTGTAAAGATGTTTTAGACAATGTAATGACTCAAATATTGTGTTCATGATGCTATAAAATATGATGTAAGATGTGTTATCCTTAGAATGTACTACATAATATATTGTAATGATGATGTTATGCATGCCATAGTATGTTTACGTGAAGAAGCTTTTGACCAAAGGTGTAATCATTGAATGTTCTGTAACCATGATGAGGTCAGGGATCAGTCAGGTCACTAAAGGATTCCATGTTTCAGCACCGGATGGAGCCAGGTGAGAAGGTCATGGGCGTGGACAAACGGCACGATGACAACCGGGGATGAGCTACGTTTGAATTTGCAGCCAATTACATACGGCTGTACAATAATGAACACGCTCCGCAAAACATTCCTGAAATAACTGGACCCGAGGAGGGACGGGTAGAATCTCTGGAGATCCATACTTTGAGGTCCCTGTGAGGTCACATCCACTGTGGGGAAGGAGATTCTCTATATCCCTATTAATAACGTATTTCACTTTGTAACTGTATTTGCCATTTTGATTCTTAAACTCAAGACAGTTGATTCTTTTGACTATGCTCCTCCAGCCGCTACTGTGGAAGTGGCCAGTAGGACAGAAGTTTAAAAGATACGTACTGCAGCGATAAAGACGGTTCACCCGAAGGATGTCTATGGGACTCATCTGGGTGGCCCTGCCGATGGCTACATTGGCGTTGGGGATGGGAACGATGGTCGGCTGCCTGTTCTTAGAGAAGGCGAACCTATGAGGAGGGATGGTAGCAAAAAGAGAGCATTAAACGTCAGAAGATATCCACTCGATTTGTCAATTCAGCTTCAGCAGAGAATTAGAAAACGGTATGACACATGAGAGACGGTACCTTCCGTAGTGCATGACCGAGTTGTAGTCATAAGGAGTGCCAAGGTTCATTGTTTGGATCTTCCTGAAGTTGGATTCCATTCCTGTAGATCACACAGATCAGTCAGAGGTTTTTCTACCACACACCTGTTCCACTAAGATGTTCATATGGTAGTCAAATGAGATTGTTGTATTGATGTCTTGTTATTTTTACTTATCATAAGCATATCATTTTCAAGATTAATGATTTATTTTGGGGTTTCAATTAAAACGTGTTTAAACAATTAAGTATTCAGCAACTCCATTATTTTTCTCATTCTTTCTTCTGTCTGAGCCCCCCTCCCGACAAAACACTGGTCATCATTTATGGTCTTCCACATCGGCGCTCTTGCCCTCTTTGCAGCATCCCTATAGCCGGATACTCACTGGTTGAGCCCACTTGTGCTACTTATGAAACCCCAATTTGCTCGTTTCTATCAATTGTTTCTATCGTTTTTTTACAAAGTTCCTTCTGCTTTTGTCAGAATAAAAGCTTGTGACCTACCAGAAATAACGTTCTCCAGCAAGATGCGAACATTTTGGTCCCTGTCGGACCGAGTCTGTTCGTGGTTGAAGCCCAGGGCGTGCAGCAGCTCGTGTTGGATGATCTGCCGGAAAACACATCCCTGACGACTCAAAGACACTACCTGGCCTCTACCGCGACGTCCAACAAATGAGAAGCACCTGAAAGAGAGGACTAGATGAAACCTCCAGTAAAGTAAAGTAAGTACAGTAAAATCCATTAAGCAGCAACATTGGGAATAAGTTACTTTGCTTCCCTTGACACTGTTCAATGACAAGTCGGATGCAAGTTGTAAGACCCGAGGTGTAAAGAGTGTATAATATTGTGTTAATGAATGTATGCTGTATATGTAGTGGCCCGTACCCGGAGAGTGACTGGATGTCCACAAAGTCCTCTTGTCGATCGAGGGGAGTGAAGCGGATGCAGGTAGACTCAGCAAATGAACGCAGACCTTCAATGATGGTTTCTCTCTCTCTTTGGCCTTTAGTTAAAAAAAAAATACTGGTACTCTAATACTATGGTACTATCACTGGCAGACTACAGGGTGCTTCTACACCACAATAACAAACTCATAAGATTAAAGAGCTGGTGAAAAGAGAACCTTTCCTTCAGGACTTACTAAAGCTATTGGCGATGCGGAAGGGCACGTACACGTTGCCATCAGTGGCTTTTGGCCACAGGCAGCCTCGTGTAACGCAGGGATCAGCGTTCTGCAGACCCGTAGGCACCGCTATGTCACCAAACATCACCAGAGGCTCGTCGAGGTTCTTTCCTGCAAAATGACGACGACGGATAAAACATACGTCTCATTTTCTTGTTTCCTTGATTCAACTGCTGCTTGTAGAACTACTCGGACTCAGACGCAAGCCAGTAAGTCAGAAAATGATATACCTGTAGATGGACCCATAAGTTTAAAAAAATGTTTGTGTTTGATCTGCACAACTCAATTAGGTGAACATTACTGAAGTAAACCAATAATAAGTTGAGGGAAAAAAATATATAGTTAAAACCACTTTAAGAATCCAAATCGTATTTTTCTACTTTAACCCATCTTAATTAGTCTTTATTATTATTATTTTTTAATATTCAATACTATGTCACTAGCTATGACCATTTCACAGCTACAAGGCGGCATTTAATTTGTGTGTCCACCACAGAAATGATTATTAGCTTTGTTGCAAAGTGACACAAAATGCTTCCAACAGTAATGTCTGCTATAACACTTACAAATTTTAATGTTTTATTCTCTAATTTCAATAGATGATTATTAGCAGATTGTATTTGCTTAACGAAAAAAGAATGTTGCCGTGATGAACATACCAACATTAACATTGGCCTTCTCTAACAGCGTGGAGACACTGAACTCGTCATCCTCAACCGTGTGGCCTGTAGAACAGAAACAATTTCAGTTACTTCATGTAGCACTTTGTATTAACATCATGTCATCATATAAAACGTAGCCACATCTTTACCAGAGTACTCCTCGCCATTTTCAAAAGGACCCTGTGATAAGACAAAAAAATGAAAGATGTAAAATTTGCTTCAATGTAAATCCAGGTATGTTCCAGCTTGGATTCAACTTCTGTCTGAGGATACTTTGAGACTTTGCAGGTTCCAAAGAAATAGCATGTAGCTGGAAATGAGGGCATGCTGGAAACTGGTACTTCCTATCATTGTTAAAACAGTTAAATTTTCTTGCCTTAGATAAAAAGGTAATGCAATAAACACTTCACTGTAAGTATAAAATTAAACAGAATCCCATCAAGCTTTGAGCAACTTATCAAATCGTCTTTGATTAGAAACTATTTTCACCTTGAATTATTATTGTCATTTTTAAAATCTCCTTTACTCTACATAAAAAGAGTAATTGGGACTTTCACATTTCACTTGAAATGTAACTTAAAAAAAGAAGTATTTATCTACTTATTGACACCTCATTTGTCTGCCGATGCTTACCTGTATAGTAAAAGTCTGGACAGAGCAGAAGAGGACACCGAGCGCAGCAGCCTGGAGGATCATGACTGGTTAAAGGACAGCAGCACCGGACCAAAGTAAAGCTACCAGAGGTGTTCCAAACTTATATAGGAGGAAAGGAGAACCAACTTCCCCCTAATATGGCTTACTGAAGACTGGTTGACAAATACAGTCTGAATAGAAGTGGCAGTTATTGCTTAAAACAGACTTTGGTTTGTGTAAGATGTCGACTTTGTCGTTGTTTACGGGAAGGAACAGATTACATATGGAAGAAGTCAGTGATAGGCTGCACAAGAAACGGGTCAAATTGATTCTTTTACCAACTACAACTTAGATATCGCGATGGACACCACAGGAAAAAATAATCTCTGAGATTTTGGGTCTTCTTTCAGATGACATTTTGTCCTTAATTCCCCAGAAGTTACCATTTTTTAATGTCACATCTGCACATTTAAACAAAACATTTCTCAAAAAAGTATTAAAAAAAAGTCTACCACCACCACCAGTGTCTGGACTCCCAAAGGGGGGGATATGCCTCATCTTGGCTCGGCGTCTCGGCCCCTGGTCTTTTCTATGGCAGGAAACAAAGTCTCTGAGGAATGAAATTACATTTACTCCAGTAATGTACTTTAATATAATTTCAGGTACTTCTACTTGCCATTATATAAAACGTTATACTTCTAATACATTTACTCCTCAGGAAAGGAAAAATAATCAGGAGACGTAATGAGAAGAGAAAGGTTTTCATTAATCAACAGATGGAAGCTTGAATTAACGGTTGTTTTAGACTGCCTTAATAATAGAATATTCAATTCAATTCACTTCCTTTTGTATAGCCCAAAATCGCAAATTACAAATTTGCCTCAGAGGGCTTTACAGTCTGTACACATACAACATCCTCTGTCCCGAAACCCTCACATCGGCACAGGAAAAACTCCCTAAAAAGTGAAAAAACCCTTCCAAAGAGGGAAAAAAGGGAAGAAACCTTAGGGAGAACGTCAGAGGAGGGATCCCACTCCCGGGATGGACAGACTACAATGGATGCCATGTGTACAGAATGAACAGTGAATAATACATTCAATTCATATGACAGAAATGATTCTAGTAATTGTGAGTAGTAAGCCAGGCGCACAGCAGGACCACGGCAGGTGTCAGGACCAGGGTCCAGAAGGAACTACGATCCACGAAGACCTGCTAGGGGAGAAAGCACAAAAAACTCCCAGAAAGAAGCTGAATTAGTCATGTGCATTAATAAAACGTGAATTATTGTAGAACGAGAGCGTGAGAGAGGAGGTCGGTGTGTCCTAAGAAGTCCCCCGGCATTCTAAGCCTATAGCAGCTTAACTAAGGGCTGGTCCGGGCTAACCTGAGCCAGCCCTAACTATAGGCACAATCAAAGAGGAAAGTTTTAAGTTTTACTTTAAAAGAGCTGACCAGATCTGCCCCCCGGACTGAAAGTGGAAGCTGGTTCCACAAAAGAGGAGCTTGATAACTGAAGGCTCTGGCCCCCATCCTACTTTTTAAAACCATAGGAACAACAAGTAACCAGCATCTATGGAGCGCAGCTGCCTTGTAGGGCAATACGGTGTTACAAGCTCTTTAAGATACAACAGTGCCTCACCAGCAAGTGCCTTGTAGGTGAGGAGAAGTACCGTAACATCAATTCTTGATTTAACAGGGAGCCAGTGCAGAGAAGTTAATACATGAGTGATATGATCCCTTTTCTTAGTTCTTGTTAATACACGTGCTGCAGCATTCTGAATCAACTGGAGAGGCTTAAGAGATTTACAAGAGCAGCCTGAAAACAAAGAATAACAGTAGTCCAGTCTGGAAGTGACAAACGCATGAACTATTTTTTCTGCATCACTTTGAGACAGGAAGTTCCTAATTTTTGATATGTTACGTAGATAAAAATAGACAGTCCTTGAAGTCTTCTTTATATGCAAGTTGAAGGTCATATCCTGGTCGAAGAGAACTCCCAGATTCCTGACGGTGCTGCTGGGTACCAGAGCAATTCCATCCATAAAAACTATCACGTGACAGCTTGCTTCGAAGGCGCTCTGGGCCTATCAGGAAAACTTCTGTTTTTTTCTGAGTTTAGCATCAGGAAGTTACAGGTCACCCACGTTTTGATGTCTCCAAGACATTCTTGAAGTCTAACTAGCTGGTCGGTCTTTTCTAGTTTTTATCGACAGATACAGTTGAGTATCGTCTTCGAGGATTCGCCGTTTACAAGCACATACTGGGATCGATCTGATAAGTAGGATTTAACCAGCTGAGTGCAGTTCCTTTGATACCAATCAAATGTTCTAGTCTCTGCAACAGGATACAATGGTCTATGGTATCAAATGCGGCACTGAGGTCCAGCAAGACAAGAAAAGAGATGAGTCCTTGGTCCGATGCAAGTAGAAGATCATTCGTAATTTTCACCAGTGCTGTTTCTGTGCTATGATGCGCTCGAATTCCTGACTGGAAATCCTCGAACAAAACATTGTTTTGTAGAAAGTCATATAATTGGTTTGCGACTGATTTCTCAAGGATGTTAGAGAGGAAGGGAAGATTAGAGATAGGTCTGTAGTTAGCCAACACCTCTGGAGCAAGAGTAGGTTTCTTAAGAAGAGGTTTAATTACAGCTACCTTGAAGGACTGTGGTACATGTCCTGTCAACAAAGACAGATTCATAATATCTAATAAAGATTTGCTAACTAAAGGAAAAACTTGCTTAAGCAGCTCAGTCGGAATCGGATCCAAGAGACAAGTAGAAGATTTAGACTTCGAAATGATAGAAGTCAGTTGATTAAGGTTGATGGAACAGAAGGCATCCAAACAGGCATCAGGGCCCACTGCTGCATCCAAGGTTCCTACATCTGAGGACAGGTCAGCACGGTTGAAGGCAGGAGACCATCAATTTTCTCTTTGATAGTCAGAATCTTATTATTGAAGAAATTCATGAAGTCGTTACTACTGATGTCCAAAGGAATACACGGCTCGACAGAGCTGTGACTCTCTGTCAGTCTGGCTACAGTGCTGAAGAGAAACCTGGAGTTGTTTTTATTTTTCTCTATTAATGATGATTAATAAGATGCTCTTGCGTTACGGGGAGCCTTCTTATATGTTTTAAGGCTGTCTTGCCAAACTAGCCTAGATTCTTCTGATTTGGTGGAACGCCATAATCGTTGCTCACAGTTTGCTTTAGGTTCCGTGTTTGAGGGTTATACCAAGGAGCAAACTTCCTGGATATTGTCCAAATGACGAAATGGACCTTGGTGTCAGTTCAGCTGCTTCTAGTCCTTTGTTTTAGTCATTAAGATAACTCTATCATATTTATCTATTTGATGCATTTACTTTGCCTTTTTAAGGTATCATTTCATAGTATCCACATATCCAGAATATGTGGAATAGTCTTCAGAAATAAGTGATTTTAATTTTTAATTTGTGTGGCCAACTATCGCTGTTGAAGTTCTGACTTTATGTAACCCGCCTGCTGCAACAACTTCTCTTCACAGCGAGCCGTTTCCAAATGGTGGGAACCGAGCTGTTGTGGCTTTGTCTTGTGACATTTATGTTGTTGTAAGAGCTGGTGATGAGAAAAGTTCTCAGTATTCAATTCTAAGGATTTGTCTGTGTTTTAGTGAGACATTTTATTGATTTTTATAAATAAAGGGTGCTGCAACATCACATTAATAATCGGCACATAACATCAGTGTGTACAGTGTGTGTACAACAGTAGGGTTTCATGAAGCAGAATATGGATTTAAAAGTATGTAAGAGAAAAAACATTAACTAGGGCCTGAGCCAACTGAAAGTTAGACAAAAGCCCTATTGTGTTTCGAAGAATTATTACGTAATATTTTTGTTAGTTACGTAAGAGTAACACATAGCAACGTATTTAAAGTGTTTTTATCTCCCACAGTCAGGACACCGTAATTCTATATGAGAGCAAGTTTTTTCATGAAAACATCCACATCTGAGTTGAAATCCTATTTAACCTCCACTAGTCTTGTTCACAGGCAAAGTTGGGCAGATCAGAAAGTAATGTGTTGGTAGAAAATATTTTACCATAAAATTACATCTCTGCTACTGGCAATTGCTGTGAACAAGATCATATGCTTGGGTTCAACATTGAAATATGGAACAAACACACACGGGCTGATGTAAGATGTGTGAATACATGTTTTATTCATTATTAGTAGAAGTATCAAGCATAGAAGCAGTTAGTTATGGAGGGGGACATTTCTGATGGAACCTTTTTTTTCTTCATAGGACAGCACAAGCTAATTTGATTAAATTCTTAATTAAAGCAAATTCATTAAGCACAAGACGTATTTCTGCTTTTGCTTGAATAAGAAGTTGCTTCACACGGCCTCATTTCGTCTTGATTTCCTGTTGGAAGAAAAAGGGGATTGTTCAAATTGTTGCATGAATCTGCGCACATCCCACCCAAACTGAGACGTTAGTTCGCTGTTTGTTTTCTGTTGTGTTTTCTGTCATTCACCCGGCCTCTCGTTGCAGACACCTCCCTCCTTGTGGGCTGCCGCCCTCGATGATTGCAAGCCCCGCCCTTATTGTTTCCACCTGTGTCTCGTTCCTCTGTGTATTTAGTCTGTGTCGACTGCTTGTTCTGTGCCAGTTAGTCTCTCTCGTTGTTTTTTTTGACCTGTGCTGCGACTCTGCGTTTGAGTCCAAGTCCTTGTGGCCCCCGCTCCCCAGCACCACGTGGGCAATGCTCAAAACTAAAGAGGCTTGATGTTCCTAAAGGTACTGTTTACAACAAAAATCGTGTGTTTCCCCCTTAAATGTAGTGCCGTTTGGTTGGGACCAGCTTAAATATTGGGTAAATACATTTAAAAATGCCAAGAATAATTCTTTATTGCCATAAAGTCCCATTATGTTGGAGGGATGAAAGACATATATTATCATTCTTTTGTGTAATTGTTTTAATGAATTCATATGCCACCGAGGGGCTTTGCTTACAACCTCTCAGTAACTGAAGAAAGCAGTTTCAAGGCACCTCATGTACAAATTGACATACACTCTAGATCACAGGTTGATAGAAAATGTTGACAGCTTATTGTCAACCGATTGTTTACCACAATATAATGAACAAGCAATAAATAAAAGCTCCTGAAAACTCCCAAAGAGAATATACACACAGCCACATCTGAATATGACACTTACTTTACATCGCGTTGGCAATAGCACGGCGGACCTTCATCTCTAGAGGAAATGGTTTCTCTGCATGGGTTTCAGGTCAGGCCTGAACGCAGTTGAATCTGAAATAAATTCAAAGAGACGGCAAACTTTATGCGACTGCTGTAATGGATATAAAACAAATCCAGGTTTTTATCTGTGTTCATTCCAACTTATGTATGTACGTGTGTCTGTAGGTGTTCGAATTGTAAAGATGATTATAGACGATGTAATGACTCAAATATTGTGTTCATGATGTTATGAAATGTGAAATGTGATGTAATGTGTTATCCTCAGAATGTACTACATATTATATTTAATGATGATGCATGCCATAATATGTTTACTTGAAGAAGCTTTAGACCAAAGGTGTAATCATTAAATCTTTTCTAATTGGGACTGTCAGTAGATTAAAAAAAATTAACTAATCAATACAATTAATACAATGTTGTTGTTAATAAAAAAGAATTCTCTCCTGCTCGGCCATATTAATCGCATAGATTAACGCGTTTATGATGACAGCCCTAATTCTAATATTGATGAGGTCAGGTCAGAGAGGGATTCCAGGTTTGATCACTGGATGGAGCCAGTTGGGAAGGTCATAAAATGCCTGGGCGTCGAAAAACGGCACAATGACCTACGTTTGAATGTGCAGCCAATCACATAGATTCGCAAGATTCGGAAAAAAAATACACCACAGGAGAGACGGCCAGAATCTCTGGAGATCCACACTTTGAGGTCAGAATCCACTGTGGGGAAAGAGATTCTCTATTTCTTGAAATATTACACTATTAATGGGGTGTTTCACTTTAACTGTATTTGCTTCTGTTGGTTATTAAATCGTTTTTCCGATTTTTAAACTCGGGCCGGTTGATACTTTTGGCTTTGCTCCTCCAGTTGGGGCAAAGGGAAAAGTACGCTACTGTGGGAGTGGCCAGCTAGTAGGACAGAAGTTTTGTTTTAAAAGATACGTACTGCAGCGATAAAGACGGTTCACCCGAAGGATGTCTATGGGACTCATCTGGGTGGCCCTGCCGATGGCTACATTGGCGTTGGGGATGGGAACGATGGTCGGCTGCCTGTTCTTAGAGAAGGCGAACCTATGCGGAGGGATGGTAGCAAAAAGAGAGCATTAAACAACAGAATATATCCACTTAATTTGTTAAATATTTTAACAGCTTCAGCAGAGAAAATCATATGATACATGAGAGACGGTACCTTCCGTAGTGCATGACCGAGTTGTAGTCATAAGGAGTGCCAAGGTTCATTGTTTGGATCTTCCTGAAGTTGGATTCCATTCCTGTAGATCACACAGATCAGTCAGAGGTTTTTCTACCATACACCCTGTTCTGTTAATATGATTAAGTCAAATGATATTGTGATCTTTTCATTAGTACTTATCTCATCTGGAACGTATCAATATTCATAATTCATTTTGGGGTTTCAATCAAAACATGTTTACACGCTTCAATGTTCAGCAACTCCATTATTTTTCTCATTCTTTCTTCTGTCTGAGGCCCCCTCCCGACAAAACACATGGGCTGTACTGATTGGTCATCATTTACGGTCTTCCATATCTGCGTCTTGCCCTCTTTGCAGCGTCCCTGTAGCCGGGTACTCACTGGTTGAGCCCACTACACATAGTAAGGCCAAACCTGTTTGTCATGTCAGAGAATGAGATTAAATAGGTTCTCTTGTGCTACTTGAGAGACCCCATTTTGGTGGTTTCTATGAATTGTTTCTATCGTTCTTTTACAAAGTTCCTTCTGCTTTTGTCAGAATAAAAGCTTGTGACCTACCAGAAATAACGTTCCCCAGCAAGATGCGAACATTTTGGTCCCTGTCGGACCGAGTCTGTTCGTGGTTGAAGCCCAGGGCGTGCAGCAGCTCGTGTTGGATGATCTGCCGGAAAACACATCCCTGGCGACTCAAAGACACTACCTGGCCTCTACCGCGACGTCCAACAAATGAGAAGCACCTGAAAGAGAGGACTAGATGATCCAGACAGTAAAATCCATTAAGCAGCAACATTGGAAATAAGTTACTTTGCTTCCCTTGACACTGTTCAATGACAAGTCGGATGCAAGTTGTAAGACCCGAGGTGTAAAGAGGAATCACATTATTATTATATGATTGTGTTAATGAATGTATGCTGTATATGTAGTGGCCCGTACCCGGAGAGTGACTGGATGTCCACAAAGTCCCGCTGACGATTGAGGGGAGTGAAGCGGATGCAGGTAGACGCAGCAAATGAACGCAGACCTTCAATGATGGTGGTTCTCTGTCTTTGGCCTTGACAGTTAAAAACGATAAAGAAAATCATGTTATCCTTTTAGCAGGTTTTTATTGCTTTCATGTTCTACATCACAGTAAAATGTGATTATTTGCACTCTCTTCAAATACTGTGAGTGTGTACTATCACTGGCGAGAGTACAGAAGCTGAAGTACCTAAAACACACGTTTGTGGTAGTTGCTTCTACACTACAATAACACATAGACTCATAAGGTTAAAGAGCTGGTGAAAAGAGAACCTTTCCTTCAGGACTTACTAAAGCTATTGGCGATGCGGAAGGGCACGTAGACGTTGCCATCAGTGGCTTTTGGCCACAGGCAGCCTCGTGTAACGCAGGGATCAGCGTTCTGCAGACCCGTAGGCACCGCTATGTCACCAAACATCACCAGGGGCTCGTCGAGGTTCTTTCCTGCAAAATGACGACGAATGAAAAAACATACATCTCCTTGTTTTCTTGATTCAACTGCTGAAACTGCTGGCATTTTAATTTGTGTGTGTAATTTGTCAGTATGTGGCCCCTTACCTCAAATGAGTTTGACACCCCTGTTCTATAACAAGAGCTAATTCATTCAGACTTGTTAGCTTGTCTTGCTGCGGCGTGAATTACCGTAAACATTGTAATGTTCAGTCGTCAAGTCTGATATATAGAGTAAAAATGTAACATTTATATTTACATTTACCATTTAGATATAACATTTATATTTAATATTTATATTTACATTTACCATTTATATTTAATATTTAAATATAACATTTAACATTTACATTTAGATTTAACATTTTGATATAACATTTTACATTTAAATTTAAATGTTTAAATGTAAAATGTAGATTTAGATTTAACATTTAATTTATTTAACAACTTTGTGTTACTGCCAAACCTTATCCTTGGAAAGTTATTTCATGAATTTACATGGATTTATCTCTAAATGTTTGATAAAGTGACTATTGTCGCACTTTTTATTTCATATGATGATGCTGAATGTACCAAAACTGCGCAGGATTTTAGAACGTGCGACATTTTACAAACGGCGCCCCATAGTTGACAAGGGACACAAAAGTAAGTAAGTGTCTGCTATGACGCCTATGTATTAACGTTCTAATATTTTGTTCTCTTATTTTAATAGATAATTATTAGCAGTTTTTATTTGCTTTAATGAAAAAAGAATGAAGCAGTTGCCGTGATGAACATACCAACATTAACATTGGCCTTCTCTAACAGCGTGGAGACACTGAACTCGTCATCTTCAACCGTGTGGCCTGTAGAACAGAAACAATTTGTATCAGTTACTTCATGTAGCACTTTGTATTTACATCATGTCATCATATAAAACGTAGCCACATCTTTACCAGAGTACTCCTCGCCATTTTCAAAAGGACCCTGTGATAAGACAAAAAAATGAAAGATGTAAAATTTGCTTCAATGTAAATCCAGGTATGTTCCAGCTTGGATTTAACTTCTGTCTGAGGATACTTTGAGACTTTGCAGGTTCCAAAGAAAAGGCATGTAGCTGGAAATGAGGGCATGCTGGAAACTGGTACTTCCTATCATTGTTAAAACAGGTAAATTTTCTTGCCTTAGATAAAAAGGTAATGCAATAAACACTTCACTGTAAGTATAAAATTAAACAGAATCCCATTAAGCTTTGAGCAACTTATCAAATCGTCTTTGATTAGAAACTATTTTCACCTTGAATTATTATTGTCATTTTTAAAATCTCCTTTTCTCTACATAAAAAAAAATTGTATTTGGGACTTTCACATTTCACTTGAAATGTAACTTAAAAAAAGAAGTATTTATCTACTTATTGACACCTCATTTGTCTGCCGATGCTTACCTGTATAGTAAAAGTCTGGACAGAGCAGAAGAGGACACCGAGCGCAGCAGCCTGGAGGATCATGACTGGTTAAAGGACAGCAGCACCGGACCAAAGTAAAGCTACCAGAGGTGTTCCAAACTTATATAGGAGGAAAGGACAACCAACTTCCCCCTAATATGGCTAACTGAAGACTGGATGACAAATACAGTCTGAATAGAGTGTCAGTTATTGCTTAAAAGACTTTGGTTTGTGTAAGATGTTGACTTTGTTGTTGTTCACGGGAAGGAACAGGAAAAAAAGAAACAGATCAAATTGATCCATTCACCCATTACAACATTCATATTGCGTTGGACATGCATAAATCCAGTATTGATAAATAGTTTTTCCATCAAGTATGAATTATCAGCAAGATCATTTGTGGACTCCCTGTATGTGTCACGGTGTGGTTCACTTCCTGTTGTATTTTGTAGTTTTCTGTATTCAGTATTGATAAATATTTTTTCCATTAAGTATGAATTATCAGCAAGATCATTTGTGGACTCCCTGTATGTGTCACGGTGTGGTTCACTTCCTGTTGTATTTTGTAGTTTTCTGCCACTCGTGTCCCCGGGTAACTTCACTTCCTGCCTTGTCCCGTCATCCCCTGTGATCGTCTAATAGCTTCCACCTGTGTCCAATCACCTGCACCTCCCTTGTGTATTTAAGCCGTGTGTCACTTGTCGCGTCATTGTCTATTGTCGTGGATGTCCGTAGTTTCTTGACTGCTGTTCCCCCCCCGGGCCCGAAACCGATCATTTGTGGTGCCTTTTAAAAAAAAAAAAAAAATCTAACCTGTTACTTTGAGTGCGCGGTCATATGGAACACTCGGGTCGATGTGAACAGATACAATGATGCACACCCTACCTGTATTATAACACTGGATAACCACCTGCTGCGTGAAGATACCCCCCCCCCCCCCCTGCATCGTGCTCCTGTGGACCCGTCACCTTGTTTGCTGGACCGCATCAATTCAAAAGAGCGGGACCCCCCTGTGTACCGGCATTTTTTACATTTTGGTTTCTCCGAACCCCAGCATCCGAGCAGGGCCGTGGTGAATGTGTGTGGGAACCGTCACCACTGGAAAATGTGTAAAGGGAATGGTTATTTGATTCCCTGAATTATAGTGTTGGCACAAACGTTAAGAATACACTTATCATCCTGTTCGTTATTTTAATTCATTGGCCTAGATTAAAGTAACACACCTTTATTTCATTTAAAAATGTTTTTGGGGTGTTTTTATTAAAAGTGCTTAAAAGGGAGAACATCCATTTAGAAGGTACATTTGGCTGGCAGTCTGTTAAATTAACGTTATATCTGTTAACTAAGTTTATTTATTGATTCAAAAATAATAATATATAAAGCTAATTAGGAATAAGAACACAATCGAAATAAGTAAAGAATTCAGGGCCCTTTCAACCAATTCGGAGAGTAGACGGGCAACAGACACACCATGAATATTGTGAATAATTTGTCCTTAATTCCCCAAAGGTATAATGTCCCATCTGCACCTTTAAACAAAACATTTCCAAAAAACTTATTAACTTAATACAAAAAAATATAATCAATTAGGTCAGTTTAATTGTATCTATTACTTATTTATTTTTTGTGTCTGCAAAATGTATGGTAATTATCACAAAAAAAACGATTTTGTGCCTGATTTCTCAACTTAAGAATTACTTTTTCATGTATTTTGGTCATGCACTGGTCAAAATATTTATGAACCTGATTTCTCATCTCAAAAGGTGTTTGTTCACGTATCATTTATAGCCAGATTTGTGGAGTGATGAAAAGAGATATCCAAAATTCCCTTGGTAAAAAAAACCTTTGGCTCTAAAGTGGCAAAAAAATCAAACAAGAATTTCAAACTTGCTTTATTCACTATTAAGCTTTTGGTTCTGGACATGTGTGCAAATGAGCAAATCCTGAATAAATGTATGCCTAATTATTTGCATACCGTCATCTTCCTAAATTAATGGCCTATGTCATTTTTCACTTTGTGGCCTAAATCAGCTCCTGCTGATGCCGGCCAACTCTGGTAAAGTTGCCTTCATCCTCAGTAGAACAGATCATGTGATTCTGGCCCTACGTCTGATTCCAAGCTGTTGCAAACCAGTCCAGTCTCTCAAGACGAGCGGAGGAATTGTGGGTTAATCGTGAATAAAATTGCGCATTTTCCTATATTCTCTCATTGTGGACTGTAAGTCAAGCACACGGATTAATGTATTGACTGTCATGGGACAAGTTAGGTGTTGAAAACAAAATCAAAAAAGCGTAAAAGTATTTTATTGTTAAGGGTGGTGTTTTTTTGTCCAAGATTATATTGAAAATTCTTCAACTGTTTTCATTTCTAGTTTAAATGTCTCGTCTCCTTGGTGACAACGAAAACCACGAGAAGAACACGAGTTGTGCTGCTGACACTTGAGTGATGAATGTGGTTCCTTTGAGGACAATGCGGGTAACTGATATTTACATCATCCCTCTGCGTGCCGACATCTTTTCACAGTGTTTACAAGACTTCTCCAAAATGTGGGCTAGGTTGCAATGTGTGTCTGAAATACATTCCTGCAATGCCTTAAAAAAAGGAACAAAGATTATGAGGTAAAAAGCTTGAATACATTTCAGGTACTTCCACTTTCTATTATATAAAACGTTATACTTTTAATACATTTACTCATTAGGAACGGAAAAATAATCAGGGTGAAAGGATTTCATAAATTAACAGATAGATTTATTAATTGTGCAAGAGGCCAACACATTCTTACAAAAAATGGAAGCTTGAATTAAGGATTGTTTGAGACTGCCTTAATAACAGAATAGTCTTCAGAAATCAGTTTTTTTATTTAAATTTTAATGGGATTGATCACTGATCTAAAATAAGAAAAACATAACTTCTAAGAAATCGGTGAACGACATAGAATGAAACCTTGTTAAAGTGTCTTTTGTGTCGCCACATATTGCTGTTGAAGTTGGGACTTTATGTAACCCGCCTGCTGCAACAACCTCTCTTCACAGCGAGCTGTTGTGGATTTGTCATTTGTGTTGTTGTAAGAGCTGGTAAGAAAAACGTTCTGTGTTTTAGTAACATATTTTATTGACTTTATATAAAAAGAGGTGCAGCAACATCACATTGTAAGAGAAAAATCCACTTCGAAATGCAAATAAGAAATTCCACTGACGGCTGTTCCACGCTGACATGAATATGAATACGAAATGACTTGTGTCATTTGTACACTTTATTGATGACAACGATGTTGGGGAACAGGGCTCACAAGTCTTGTCTTTTCTCCTGTAAATACGTATTGCTGATTTGGTCTTTAGGCCTCTGTTGGGAGTTTTTAGTCCATAGTTCTTATGGGTCCAACAAACAGAGTGCGGATTCTTGCTGGGTCACTCTGGAAATGTAAAAACATAAATAATACATCTTCATCGGACTACACGATAGATATGGCATTAAGGTTGGTTTGTTGGAACAATTATTTTTATAATTGCAAAACCGTGAACTTTAACTGAGAGTGATCAACTAACTTCCTTTTTGTTTTTGATCAAAATACATTATACAACTGAACAAGGTTTAAAGCAATACCCATTTACAAAATATCTAAATATATAGTGTTTCACCTTTTGATAATTACTGTAAAGTTTCCAAACATTTCTTCTCAAATCAGACACACTGCTGAATGCTAACAACTTATTTTCAGTGTTCAATTCCCCCCAGTCTGTACAGTTTTCAGATGCATGTGTATGGACGTTATATGACTGATAAGCCTGTGGATTTTGCTGTCTCTGCTTTCTTTAAAACAAGATAATCCATGTTTGGTCTCAATGACGCAGTCAAACACACATACAAAAACCTGGAAGGAAACCTGAGCTGCACAAGTCCCCCAAAGGATCCAAGGTGAGTTCAGCTGTAAATATCTGCAGCTCATATGAAACACAGAAGTCTGCACTTTCTTTCTGCGGTCGGTTTTATTTCTTGTTGGTTCTCACACTGGATCTTTCCTCTGAGCTGAAGCTGACTCCTGTCTCTGTCCCGCAGGTCTACTGAGGATGGCTCGCATGTCCGTGTTCAGGTTCTCAGCTGTGGCTCTGCTGCTGCTGTCCGCCTGCTGTTGGGCCGACGATGAGGTAGGACCACGGGAGAGAGGAGCGGCGATGGCAGCGCAGGGAGGCGTCTGGTTATTAGTCAACACTGACTAATGTTGAAAAGAAATGCACGTTGAGCGTCCTCTGTCACCATCAAAACACAAACTGTCTCATATATACGTATGAAGCCGGTTGTCTTCTCCACATTCACAAAGACGCTGTCAGGAGGTTGAATAGTGAATTTATTTATGCCTGTGCAGAGTTATCAAGCACCTTTGTTCACTGTGTTGAGTATTACTTCATCTCTCTCAGATGATGATGCACTTTATCCACAAAGCTTCATTCTCTACAATGCTGAACTTTTGTCCCACAATCTCTAATTCTGACCGGTCTACGTGAACACGGCACTATAAGAAACGGAGTTACAGATAAAAGTCAACGTCACACTAAGTCACGTAGCTTGTGTCTAATGTGTTTTTCTTTCCTCCTCTGATCCCACGCTGGACCTGCAGGCAGGTACGTGATCTCTCCTGATAATCAGAGCTGGTGTACCTGCATGCTCAGTATGTGACTGCTGTATTTGTACACAACGTCAAGCTGTGTGTTGTTGTGTCTCTGCAGAGAAGGACTCCGGGGAGCTTTCTGTCTCAGAGCTGCTGGAGAGAGCCAACAGTAATCTGGGTGAGTGAGCTGCTGAGGTCCGCGTGTTCCTCCAGACCTCTGTAGATATTCATGAGCAGCGCTTCAACGGGCGTCTGAGCTGCTGCTGTAATGTGTTTCAGTCCGCTCCGCCGGTGACCCCGTCCTGATCGGAGGAGACATCGCCGTTGACAGCGAGGCCGAGAGAAACGCCGACCCCTGCACCAGCCGAGGCTGCAAGTGGGGCAAGTTCACTGACGGGAAGGTCTACATTCCTTATTACATCACCAACCACTTCTGTAAGCGCCACACAAAGGCCTGCGAGGCCCACACACACACACACACACACACACACACACACACACACACACACACACACGCACACACGCACACACGCACACGCACAGATATTTTGGGGCCCACACGGTCCTCTGGGTTTCACGGTTAACAGCTGAATGTTTTGTGCTGCGGTCCTGCCAGCCTCCCGTGAGCAGGCCATCATCACGCGTGGACTGGAGTCTTTCTCTTCATTCTCCTGCATCCGCTTCAGGCCCAGCAGAAGCAGCGACCGCGACTGGCTGCAAATCGAGTCCCAGAACGGGTAAGAAAGAGACGACGTGGAGCCGCTTACAGTCCACAGCGTGTCCTCAGACTCCCGTATCCATCCACCCATCTCTGACCCCGTCCAGCTGCTGGTCCTACGTCGGCCGTCGCGGTGGGAAGCAGGTGGTGTCTCTGGCCCAACAGCCCCTTCACGTTTCTCAGTGACTTTGAAACGCTGCGAAGCATCTTGAGAGAGTGAAAGAGTTCCCTTCTGAAGAGATAACACTTGTTCAAACTTAAGAAATGATAAAACCAATGAACTTGCTTTACTCTCCTGCTTTTGAGTGGCAGTACGTCGCTCTCTGGTGACACACAACATTGACCCTCCATGAAGCAGGAGCTTGTTGTGTCACTGCAGTTATACAAACAGTCGGAGTGAATTCAAACCAAACAATGAAACTAGATTCTTCTTCATCTTCTTCTTCTTCTTGATTTCCAGGAATGGAGCACAACTTTAACAAGATCGCCACCTTGAACCAGGGAACTCCTTACGACTACGGCTCTGTCATGCAGTACCACAAGTGAGACCAAACAGCTCCACCTCTGCGCTGCTTCATGTCTTCACACGTGTGTGTGTGTGTTTGTTTGTGCTTCTGTTCCCCCTGAACGCTCCGTGTCCTCTTGCAGGTACGCCTTCTCTAAGAACAACCAGCCCACCATGGTCCCCATCCCCAACGCCAACGTGTCCTTCGGCAACGCCAAGGAGATGAGCCGCAACGACATCGCCAGGCTCAACACGCTCTACAGCTGCTGTGAGTGTCCACATGAGCCCTCTGTGAATATCCATGTTACTGCTGCTGCCTTCTGCAGTCTGTGTCCATCACTCGCCTTTTGACCTGATCCTCTGTGCGCCGTTACAGAAGAAGGACGCTCGGATGTCCTGACAGGACGCAGAAGGACGGAAGATTGTCTCCTGGTGCTCTCTGAACAGCAGGCAGCTGCAGACGTGAACTCTTCTGCACATCTAAAGATCTGACAATAAAGACACTTTGACTGGACAGAGCTACACCACCCGTGTAGGTTTTCTGAGCCTACAGTATATTCAATCATTCATCTATTTATTCTGGTATGATCCCAAGTGGGATGATCACCTTCTAATGTGTGAAAGACTAAATATTTAAAAAGGAACTTGCACGTAGTTGAATTTAAGTATCAAAGTCTTAAAACCAGCCAGCTGCACATCCTTTTTAGAACCATTGGCCATAAATGCAACGGCCTCCCACAAAGAGATTACGATGATGATAAAACACACATCTCCAAAGGAAAGGACGTATCTCATGGTTCACAATTAAAATGCTATCATTTATTGGATGGAAAAATGTAAAGTTCATCAAATAAAGTAGAACATATTTCAAGATGAAAGACAGAAATGATTTTTGTAAAGTAAAAAAAGGATGGATGGAGTCACATTGAAAACAACGGTATTTATAATGCACAGGACTTAAGTGTTGTAAGAGTGGATGATAAGCCTAGAAAGGGAATATCAGCGTGCGACCAAATAACAAAAGCGACGCGTTTCATAACGTATTTAATGAAACACCAAAGGTCACTGAAACGCAGAGGCTTCTGGCGATGAACGCGCAGTACACCGGGCAGAACACTAGATGGCGGCACCAACATAAAAGGCCGCTGTCGCCTCCTCTCAAAAAGAAAGAGAAAGACTTCCGCGTGACTCCAGTGTATCTGTAAAGATGGCGGACACGTGTGGACAGGTTTTGCTGGGATCAGGGCTCACCGTCCTCTCCCACCCTCTGATGTACATTAAAGTCCTGATCCAGGTAAGGGGACGAGCGTTCGGGCCTGGAGGAGACGTCCCGGGTGCCGCGGCCGCTCGGGTCACGGTTAGCTAGCGGTTATGACGTAAATACGGCACGAGCCAGCTAGCTAGCAGCTTGAGGAAGAAACCGCTAATGCTCTTAGAAAACAGCCTCGACTGTGACTGAATCAATGAGCACAACTGAAGCCCCTCCGTTAACGTCCATTGGCTCTTTAATTCGGGACGGATGTGGGATTAACGCACAGCAGCACTCGCTATGACAACAACCCTCACTGCTCGATCGATCTGTCTCTTGTCCCTGTGACCTTCTGTCATTCCCGGCGGAAGTGAGGCGCGACAGACGGTTTTCACGGTTCATACTGTAACGATCGTGCTGTTGTGTTCATTTTCTGTGCACGTCCTCTGGCAAGTTCCCAGAAACTCAAATACATCTGATTTTTCTAACGAGCTCGTGTTGTCGTGGGGAGATGAGCGCTACTTGGCGTTAGCTGTCAGCCCAGCAGCGATCCCACCTTACAACCTCTATGTTGCTACATTTTGAAAACACTTTAGCGAAGTGACAAAGTGATATAAAGTCATATTTTTAATTCTTTCAAAGTGGGCGTTGTTGACCCGCGTAAACAGGAAGTGAAAGGTCGGGGACCAGCGAGGAGTTCTTTCTTTGCTGTAACCTGCATGTTATCATTGTTTAACATGTTCTGGGTGCATTGAGTTATATGTCTTGAGTAACACACCCGTACAGCAGTAATAACGCACGTGGCGAGTACGTCTTCTGCTCTTTACCGACCGGCGTCCTTTAGCCTACTAAAGTAGCTTGCTAATTAGCTAGCTAAAGCCGCCGATAATCATTACGTCGGCATATGACGTCAGCGGTACGGAAGTGAACACAACATTTAGACCAAAATAACAAAGGTTGTCAAAGTGTGTGAAAGAAGACCCCACGTGTTTGTCCCGGTGTGTTTCACGGTGGTTCTCGTGTGTGCTGTCAGGTGGGACACGAGCCGCTCGCGCCCACCCTGGGCAGGAACCTGTTCGGCAGACAAGTCTACCAGCTGCCCGGCCTGTTCGCGTACGGTGGGTCTCTGGGACATTCCTCACAGCACTCTGAAGTGGGAGGGACAAAGGGCGGCTTTCACTGTCTCTCCGTGGGTGTCTGATCTATTGTAGCTCGTGCTTCTAGTGAGACAAATCTGTCCACCCTGAGCCGCGTTGGACCTGTTTTTGGAGACCGGATTGACAACTGACAGCCGCTCCTTTTCCTGTCCTACCAGATGTACACCCCTAAAAGTTGATGCACTTCTTAAAGCTTAAAAACTGAAATGATTCAAATAAACAAACTAGTTTAAAACTAACATTCATTATTTCTCATACAGTCGGTACAGCGCTTTATTTATTGTCCTAAACACCTCCCAGATTGTGGCGTCCAGCTGTCTCCTGTGATATTGAGTGTGGTTTAAAGCCTGGTTCTTTAGTTTTATACGTGTTCATCAACAGTTTGCAAACTTAACAATCTGTGATCTCAATTTATAGTGTTTCGAATTACATGAATCCCTTGATATGAACCTCGTGCTGTTTTTAGGCCGCGTCTAACTTGTGCCGTTTTTAGGCCGTGTCTAACTTGTGCCGTTTGTTTTCCAACTGTTTCAGCCAAGCACATCATGAAGATCGATGGAAAAGCGGGTCTCTTCAAAGGGATCGGCCCGAGGCTGTGCGCCGGCTCCATCGGCACCATTGTTCACAGCAACGTTTTGCAGGTAGGCCATGAGAAGTGCACCATGGGAAGTATGTTGTCCTACAGCGTATTCTTCAGATGAAAGCATGTGATACTTGTACATCATTACATACGTAGCATTTATTTTAAGGTGCAAAAGTAAGATTCACGTAAATGTAAATGTCTTTTATTCACAAGGGCAGTTTTATCATGTTAACCTCTAGTTTCTTTCAGAAATGTCAAGAACACGGGACGCTCCAGGTAAGCGCTTCTTCTCCCGGTCGTGTTGTTTAAACTTTAAGGTTAATATTGAGCAAAGCCGGTTGGAGCTGAGGTCTGATTCTGTCGACCAGGTGCTGGGAGGTCAGCAGAAGGCTGCGGAGGGATCCATACAGCACGTTGTTAACGAGGTAACGTCTTCATTGCGCTGCAGCGCATTAAGTCTATTCTACACATGGTGTCCAAGTGTCATCAGTCGCCACTGTATCCTGTAGTTCTCTGCACTCGGCCCTTTTCTAATGACTTTTTGAGAATCGAGCGGGGCTCATGTGTGGAATAATGCTCTATCTATACGCACCGTACACAAACACCTCAGTTGCTTGCTTTCTCCTCCACAGACAACCAAAGAGATGATAGCCCGATCCTGCGCCACCATTGTCACACATCCCTTCCATGGTGAGCTTTTACACGCCCGCTACAGCGTTATGCAGGCAATGCTGTTCAGCAGTAGTTTCGCTTAAATCTGACATTTGTGTGTGTGTGTGGCTGGAGAGACACTAGTCAGCATGTCAAGTCTGTTCTTCCCTCCAACTTGCTTTTCAGTGATTACTTTGCGATGTATGGTCCAGTTTATTGGGAGGGAAACCAAATACAGGTACAGTCTCCATGTTCTAGACCCACGACCTCAATGAGTAGACAATCAGTCGTTTGTAACTTACAAATGTTCATGCATTTCTTTCTTTGTCAGCGGGGTGTTTGACTCTGTAGTCACGGTCTACAAAGAAGAAGGCTTACTGGGCTTCTTCGCGTAAGTTTGACACTCCTGGTCTTATTTCTTTTCGTCACTTTACATCCGATTGTTTGTGCATTGACTCGAAGGTTCGCTTAGAATTCGAGGAGGTAGTTTTGCCTGGTGCTTATCAATGTGTCCAGTACACACTATGTTGCTACTAACGACTGACAACCACAAGGGCCACATCTCTCCACATGCTTTGTTAAACACTGAGTAGTTTTTCTGTAAGTCTCTTTTTCTTTTCTTTTTTTTCAAATAGACATGTTTTTAAGTTAAGGCCGTAGCGTAAAAAGTTCCATCCCTGGTGCGCGTGATGACTCATCAGCCCCCAAAATAACAGACCCTTTGATTTATTCATCTACAACGGTGCCTTTCATACTCTCTATGTTTTAAAGCCTAAATGCTGCTGTGTTTCCTCGTTCAGTGGTCTGATTCCTCGCCTGCTCGGTGACGTTCTGTCTCTGTGGATTTGTAACCTGCTGGCTCACGTCATCAACACATACGCCATCGATGACTCGGTATGCAAAGCAATTCCTCTCTCACAAAGCTCGGCTCAGTTCAGGCTTTTGTGACTGTTTGTAATGCAACAAAGAGCTTCCAACTCGTACAAAGCAGGAGGGTAATGACCTTTTTTATTTCAATATTGGATATAGTAATAAAAGCTAATCATTTAGAAATACCTGCAAATTGTTTCTATAATGAACGTAGCATTCAAAATTCTTTTAGACTTGAAAAAACATTGCAATTCCACTCAGTGTTTGACCCTTTTTTTAACCAAAAAAGAAGCTGAGACGATTGCGGGTCGCTGTTTTGGTCACCGATTCGGAATCCACTGTTTGATCTGTTCTTTTCTCCAGATGAGTCACACAGGGGAAATCAAGAACTGCTCTCAGGCTGTGACCGGGGTAAGTGTAACCGACGCTGTGCGTTGTTTGTTTACAACATTTTAGCTTGCGTTTCGATCAAGATCGCTCTGCTCTGCTCTGCTCTCCTTCCAGTTCTTCGCGAGTATGCTCACGTACCCGTTCGTTTTGGTGTCGAACCTCATGGCTGTCAACAACTGCGGGTGAGTCTGCAGCTCGGGCGTTGTTTTGCAGATCCCTGCACGTCACCGACTCGAACACAGTTGGTTTCTTTTTGCCCTTGCAGGCTGGCCGGAGGCCTGCCTCCCTACGCGTCGGTGTGTCCCACCTGGGTGGACTGCTGGAGGCATCTAAGCAGAGAGGTAAACGCATGGCACCCCGACACCTGTCCACACATGTGGGATGCAGATGTTTCTTGTCCTCAGTAAGCGCCACGTGGACGTGCTTTTTGGTCCAGGACATATTTTAGAGGGCAGAGATCAAGTAGGTACAGATAACGGCATAAAGATCTCCCGCCAGGCCGGCTTTGATTTTGAATTACAAAGCGACGGCACAACGGCACATTCCTCTGCTCGGACGAGGGCAGCCTGAGGGTCTCGGTGGCCGTAGGTTAGCTCACCGCTACTAGCGCTTTGCTCACGTCTCTACCCAGTTGTCCCCAATCAAGACAACTTCTGTAGCAACAGAGATGACCGATTCGTGCTAAATGATTTCTTGTCACGTGTGTTTTTGGAATTAAGTAGTTATAATTGCCTCGTGTCGTGGTACTAAAACCCTTGTATCTTCTCTTCTGTCCAGGGCAACATGAGCAGAGGCAACAGTCTATTTTTCCGGAAGCTTCCGGCAGGAAAGATCTACGCCGTTGACCAGAACAGATTTTTTTAAAGCCTCAGGAGAACTGAGCTGAACATAGTTGTGATAATAAAACAAATCAACATTGCCTGATCTAGAGGTTGGACAGCTGGCACTTAATCTTGTTTTTTTTTCATGCATTTGTTTACTATTTTATTTTTTCTCAACCTGCCATCATGTGAAATAAAAAACACATTAATTTCCAGCAGGTTCGGTTTTATTAACAGAAATTAACAGGTGGCAACTGCAGGGCTGTAAAATAAATAATCATTTTGAAAATGTGTACTAAATCTGAACGGAGGGTGGTTCATGCTGTCAAAGCTAAGTTATGACAGATCAGTGTGACAGCCCCCCCCCCATGTGTTTTCTTTCTAATGGAGTATCGACGATGACGCTCCTTCATGATGGGATTTGTTTCTGTGGGAAAGTGCACCTCAGTCTGCATGTGGTAATGTCTAATAATTCAGAAGTTGGTGACCAAGTGGGACCGTCATTGTGTGCTAGTGTCTCGATGTGTTAATGACAAAGCTCGCTGCTCGGCGGGGGAGTTCTAATGTAACGGTGGGCGAAAGCCCCCCGGGGATGGTTGTTGGGGAGCATGTGTTGGATGTGTGGCCAGCACGCTTTGGGCTCTGAGCAGCCAAGTGCTTGTATCAACTCATTCTGACTGACCCAAATAATAAAATAAAATAAAAACTTTATTTTGTCGTTCTTGTTAGTGTTTGGAGAAGATAAATGTTCCAGTCAATTGGTTATTTAAAGAAAATCTGTTATTGTAAATTAATCACATGACATGGCCAAACCAGTGTGTACGTGTGATTTCTTCTGAGCCATTCAGTTCATCATCCAGTGACGCACACGGTTGCTTCATCACCATAAACACACGTTTAATTTGATTTAATAGAGTCCCAAATGTGGATTAATTCCACTGATGCAAACCGTCCCAACAACTTCACTGATTCCACCAGCCAATACGGAGTCTTTTATAAATAAATGATGCATGGTGACCTTGATGCTTTATCATTGGATTGGATGACTGATCCTTTTAAGTGGCAGAAACATGAACACTTTACCCACGAGGAGCAGCAGTGTGAGATTTAGCCACATCATGTCAAGACTGTAACCAACTGAACCACCCGCAGATGTGCCATTTCAAAGCTGGCTGACACCAACACGATAACCGATGACTAACCACCGCCACATTGGCGGAGCTAAACACTAAACCCAAGCTAAATCCACAGACTCTTCTTCCAGACGGCGGTGGTCACAGGAGAAACCGAAGCCTCCGCGTGGACGGGCTCAGGACACCTGGTTTGTGTCGGGTGGTAAACCGGAGCATTCGCCGCTGCGGTCGTGGCCATCCGGGTTTGAAGGCAGAAGAAAATCGGAGGGTTCGCTCTTGACCCAGGGCTGGGACGCCGCCTCTTTGAGCTGGGGTGGCGCAAGGAGGGGAGAGGAGGTGCCGTGGAGAGGAGGGGGAGGCTCCGCCTCCAGAACGGCGGCGAGGAAGGAACCTTCCGTGGTTGGGATTTCGGAGGGCGGCAGCTGGGGGGTGGACAACCGGTCGAGCAGCGGGGGCTTCTCGTCCAGGTCGGTCACGGCGGCGTTTGGCGGGGGGGGCCCTGGGTCTGCCGTCCTTGGCCTCCCCCGGGACACTTTGGAGCAGGTGTGGAGGTGAGTCAGGAGGCCCCGGTAAGAACGCAACTTTGTGCGGCAGCTCTCGCACCTTTGGGGGAGGGAAGAAGCGACGCGTTGCATGGACCGATCAACATGAGAGTGCAAGAAGAGTGAAAACCAAGAACTCACAGGAAGAAAATGTTGGGTTTGTGATGATGCCTCATGTGTTCCATCAGTCTTTGCATATCTGGGAAGGAACCACTGCATCCCAAAGTGGAGCACAACAGGACCTTTCCTGGAGGGTGAGGAAAAGAGACAATGTTCACACCCCACACGCCCCCTCCTCAACGCTTATCACACAAATACAAAAATAAAATGAAGCCACATTCAAAATCTTGAAAAGGGCCAAGTGGTGGAGTCTGTAGCAGCTGCAGAAACCTGTCCAAATCAGATTTTCATATATGATGTATATATTAATATTCGTGTTGTTTTTCTCTCTCTCTCGCTCAAAAGTCCTTTAATTTGAGGTGAGCCGAGGTTAACCATGAACATGAGTTAGCTAAAGCTCAATATAACTCATTTAATTTGGGAAAAAAAACAATTCACACCAATATTGCTTTTTCCTCAAGATCGAGTTAGGGAAACTTATTAAACGTTTGTGCCAACAGTGATGGTTCCTTTCTAACATGTTGATGGTCGCATTAAAAACCTAGTGAAGTATCTGTGGACCTGATGGGCTCACCTGGTAGAGACTGAGCGGAGATCTCATGGTCTCTGACGTGGCTCTCCAGAGCCCTCGTGTCCGAGTACACTCGCTTACAGCCATATAAGGGACACGGTGTCCTCTTGTTACCTGAGAAGGACAGACGAGACTCAATGTAATTCCGTGAAGATGTAACACCAACGTCCGTGGCAACAGTGGCTGTATAACGCCAGGAACATAGCAACAGAGGCAGAGCGCGTTAGCATGCTAGCTAGCTGACACGGCTAACTTGGTAACACTGGTTAACGTTAACTCGTGTAACTCGACCACGTTAGGACCAAAGAGTTTAGCATCTGTGTGCGATGTTCGAACGGAATTACAAACCTCCGCTATCAGCCTCGGCTGTCTCCATGGCTGCACAGCCCGAAGAGTTCATTAGAGACGTAGCAACTGAGCTCTGCGGCGACAGTGGAGGAAGAACTACATTTGACTACAAGGACCAGCATGCAAAGCGACAAAGAAACGTCAGGTACACGTTTATTCTTCCGATGTTTTACCTTTGGTGTTTATTCACACAAACTATTACATTATGATCTCAATTGAATATAGTAGTGGGGATATAGTTGTGTGGATATAGTAGTTGTTTATATAGTAGTGGGGATATAGTAGTTGTTTATATAGTAGTGGGGATATAGTAGTGGGGATATAGTAGTTGTTTATATAGTAGTGGGGATATAGTAGTTGTTTATATAGTGGGGATATAGTAGTGGGGATATAGTAGTTGTGTATATAGTAGTGGGGATATAGTAGTTGTTTATATAGTAGTGGGGATATAGTAGTTGTTTATATAGTGGGGATATAGTAGTGGGGATATAGTAGTTGTTTATATAGTAGTGGGGATATAGTAGTGGGGATATAGTAGTTGTTTATATAGTGGGGATATAGTAGTTGCTTATATAGTAGTGGGGATATAGTAGTGGGGATATAGTAGTTGTTTATATAGTAGTGGGGATATAGTAGTGTGGATATAGTTGTGTGGATATAGTAGTTGTTTATATAGTAGTGGGGATATAGTAGTGCGGATATAGTTGTGTTGATATAGTTGTGTGGATATAGTAGTTTTTTATATAGTAGTGGGGATATAGTTGTGTTGATATAGTTGTGTGGATATAGTAGTTTTTTATATAGTAGTGGGGATATAGTTGTGTTGATAAGTTGTGTGGATATAGTTGTGTGGATATAGTAGTTGTTTATATAGTAGTGGGGATATAGTAGTGGGGATGGCTGTGCCAGGCTAGTAATCTCTACTACACAACGAGGCCTGCTGGTGGTCATTTTGATCTGGGTCCTACAATTCTATGTTATATAGCTGACCCGGCTCCGGCCCCCCGTCACAGTCAGGAACGATAATGTGGCCCCCAGAGAAAAAAGTTTGGTGACCCCTGGTCTAAATATGGCAACGATCTCAGTGAATACAGATGTGTGGGACACGTTTTAATGAATTATTATTTCATTATCGTCTCGATGAGCGCGTGGAGCTGCTGCACCGTGGCGTGGCACTGCTTATTGGAAGGCCTCGGGCGCCGCACGGCCAGGAGGGTTTGGGCCCAGCTCAGCCCCCGCTGGTTCCCTGCGATGGCCCTGAGGAGATCCTCGCTCATCCGCTGCTGGCTGGCGAACTCGACCAGAATCTGGAGGGAAGGAGGTGACTCGTCAGCCGAGTTCACTCAATGGTGAATTAGAGGGGAAATGATCACTGCTTCTTAAACTGCTGACGCGATGACCCGCCTGTGCGTCCTCACTGAAGGCCCACGACCTTCTCCCCCACCTTGGCCAGCTCGTCCCCCGTCTGGCTTCTGGCGGACAAGGACGTTCCGCTCCACTGGAGCGCCGTCGTCTGCAGGCCTCCAGGGCTTTCGCCAGTCTGCTGGACATCTTGAAGAGGTCGTCCGCCTCCCCGGTTATCTGCTCCAACTTCCACTCCAAATCCTTCCTCAGAAACTGGATGTCTCTGACTCGCTGATCTGAGGAGCACGAGGATCAAGGATTCCCACTACGGTCTCCCTCCGTGCATCCAGCTGTAGCTGAAACACACGGGTCCATGGCTTGGGTCCCCCTTGTGTCCCCCTCACTCACCCAGCCGCTCGGTGACAGCGCTTTGCATGCGCCGCCATGCGGTGTCCATTTCCGTGACGGCCGTCCTGCATTCTGCTCTGATGAGCTGGGACTCGTTCCGCGTGACCTCCACGTCCACGGGACTGCTGGAGGCCGCTGGCCAGGACGGACATCGTTCAGGCTCAACTGGACAACCAATGGATCGTTGAGACACTTTAGATTGAAAAATACACATTTAGATACACACTGTGCAAATGTGTTTAACAGAAAAAAGGTCTTGGACGTTGAGAACATTGATTAGAGAAATATAACTGCTAACTAACCTAGATAGCCGTTAGTTAAATGAGTTGGTTTAATGCTATAGTGGGCCGAGAACCTCATTATAAATAATTTAATCAAATGTCAACAACAAATATGATCAGATTCATAAGATTCTATTTAGAATTTCTATTTTATTATTGTATTATTCAGGCAATCAGAATATTTACATTAGACTGTTTTGATTCAATCCAAACATAAAGCTACTTATAGAAAGCATTTCTATAATAGGATTATATTATTGTTATTATTACTATTATTACTCAGAACAGGCATTGTATGTAGTGAGGTGGCTTAAAATACAAAGAATATCAATATATACACTTAAATTATCTCCACATTGCAGTTGGCACTTGTGTAGCAATGATTGTTATTAACTGATCGCTAAGATCGTTTTTGGTTTTCGTTCGAAAAATATTTGAATATCAAAAAATGCGATCATATTCCTGTTAATTATCCCGTTAAAAAGGCAAAGAAAGTCACAGAATATGTCTCTAAAATAGACACAGGTTGTTTTTTAACCAGAAATTAACATATATTTCACTATTGAATTTATTACCTGAGTATGAAAAGCCACAACAGAAGTTCCTTACTTGCGTTTTAAAACCACCCGTAAAATCAGCTAAAAACAATTATAATAAATAAACAAACAAACAAACAAACAAACAGGTAGTTAGTAGTTGATGGATGTCTTGTAGCTCCAGTCTAAGAAATGGCTTCGTATTTCGGACTTATTTTATTTGTTTATTACTCGCCCTGTTTCATGTGTCAGCCTGATCTCAGGAAGTCAATAAAGTTTTACTTGATCCACAAAAAAAGGCGTCGCCATGACAACGCCTCCTGTGTACCTTCGGGTTTAGCCTCCAGCCGAGGAGTCGTGTTAGCTCACAAACTACCGTTTATTTCCAATAGAGACACACGGGAGCGAGTGGGACTTCTGACAATGGTGAGTCAATTATTTTAATTTTAAAAAGAGTCTATTATATCGTGGCCGCAGCCATATGTTAGCTTCTTAAACTGGCTAAGCTACGCTAGGTTAGCTAGCATTGACTGGAAGTGACTTTTATTGTGAAGAAACATGTCGATCTGTTTCACCCCCAGCCGCCGAAGATCAAAAACAAAAAGGCCGTGAAGACCGTGGTGGACGGCCTGTCCCCGGAAGAGATGTCCAGGGACCAGGTCAGAGCTGTTAGCCGATGCTAACACAGCTAACTTTAGCCTCGAAGCCATTCAAAACTTAAGTTAAAGCGTGTTGTGGTACCAAAGTGAAAGTTCTCATTGTGCAGTAAAAGGATCCCGGTCCTTATCTTATGTGTGATACCAAAAGTACAGCTCACAAGGGGCAGAGAACAATGTTATATCGTATATCAGCAGGGTAACAGGGAGACGGATGCACAGCGCACCTGCAACACGATCTAACATGATTAACACGATCTAACAGCATAATCTCCACTCAGGGTCACGCATGAGGTAAACATCTGATGAACACAGAATATCCAATTTAGCTTCCTCACCCCAAGAGATCCACATCAACGCGCTTCACAAAATGTTACAGAAAAGCAGTAACAAAGGTGGTGCTGGATTATCTATTCGGCCAGGAAACATGTATAAAGTAGATATAAGTTACTGCAGGCCGAGTATGCACTCTGCAGCCATGTTACGACGGAGAAAATAAAGAATTATATACTAGAAATTAAAATAAGATCAGACTCTGTTAGGGAGAACGTCAGCAATAGAATATCTGGACAATAATAATACAAGTAGAGCTGTACAGGAGCACCGATTGGCCCCACAAAACCCACACTGATGTCCACTCGGCCTTCCAGCTGGAGGAGCACATTGTCCGCCTGCGGGAGGATCTGGACAGGGAGCGGGAGGAGAGGAGCTACTTCCAGCTGGAGAGGGACAAGATTCAGGCCTCCTGGGAAATCTCCAAGAGGAAGCTGGAGGAGGAGAAGGCTGAGCTGAGGAACAGACAAAGGGAGAGAGAGGAGGCAGAGGCGCGCCACCAAGTGGAGATTACTGTGAGCTGCACGCACGCACGCGCACGACACACGTTCAAAAAGCCTTTTAACTTACAAGCTTTAGAGAAACAAAGAGTAACCAAAACCAAAGAAAAATAAATTAAATATCCAGATGTAAAAATACATTTACTTTGTCGTATACTTGTTTTTTGCATGGAGGTTTAATTGAACATAAAAAATACCTTGGATTATTCCTTACTTTTCTAAATTTACTTGTTATACAACACGTTTTGGCGGCCGGTATCCAGGTGTACAAGCAGAAGCTGAAGCACGTACTGTCTGAGCACCACAACGCGCTCTTTGGGCTGAAGGCAGACGGCGTGGCATCGGCCGGGCTGGTCAAGAATCAGCACATGCAGTCAGAGATCGGCCTCCGTAGCGACCTGCACGTCCTGCAGGCCGACTCCAGGGAGAAGAAGCTCCACAACGACAACTTCATCAAGGAGCTGCAGCTGGTGAGACGCGCTTCTTTCTCAAAAATGTTCTCTAGTTTGAGACCTATAATTTAGTCTCTTCACCAAAGAACCGTTGTCTTGATTCCCAACAGAAGCACCAAGTGGAGTTAATGGAGCTGGAAAACAACTATGAGAAAAGATTCACAGGTGAATAAATCCAGTGTCCTAAGTTCACAAACTCCTATCTTAAACTTAAATTAACATTTTCCCTTCTACTGTTTCTCAAATAAGAGCTGCAGGTGACATATCACAAGCAAAGGCAGCTGATGGCCGACACGGAGGCCAAGAAGCGGCAGGACGAGGTCTCCCAAATCAACTGCAGGATGAAGAAGCGCATTGATAATCTGACTGAGGAGCACGACGCGGTTCTCGAACACAAAGTGGATCACTACTCCAAGCTGCAGAAAAAACTGCAGCAGGATCAGGCCAAGCTGAAGGTACAGACACGGAAAGCTGAACAGATCGAAATACAAACTAACTCGTCATGGCCTAAATGCCATAAATGTGACACAATTGATGTAGTTTTACTTTGTTTAGTAGATTTGTTTCGGGCTCTAGATTGGTTGAACTATTCAATGGTAAATGTTCACAAAACATTGTATAAATATAAATATAAAATGGATGTTTTTTAGCCCGCACAGTAAAGGTTCCCTGTGCAAAAAAGTCAAATTTATTTCACATTGTTTCAATTTATATTTGATCATTTTTGAGAAATGTCTCACAATAACATATGTGAATTTGTTGAAAAGTTTATAAAATATGTTTTGACAAAGACAAAGATGTTTTGAATTTGGCTTTCAAAATAGATTTGCAATAACCTATTTGACGCATAAACTGACTTCATTTTAGGGGACGCTTGTTTTATGCGATACACGGCCCCTGTGCTTTCCCTCAGGATGAACTGGGGCAGGCGAGGAAGCTTCAGCTGAAAAAGGACCGGGAGCTTTCAGCAGCTCAGCGGGAGAACCAAGTTCTGAAGACGTCTCTGCAGGAAGCCCAGCAGAAGCTTCTGGAGTTACAAAAACAGCTGCAAGAACACAAAGAGGCCAAGAGCAAGATGGTGGTGGGTTCCCAGACTCAAGCTTCACTATAAAACAGTTACAAATATACTGAAAGACGACACGCTTTGGTCTCAAGCTGATCAAATAATGTGGTATTAAATTAAAAAGATGTTTAAGTACATTTGTCCTGGTTTCACATTAGTTTCAACATCTCTGTAATTAACTGAGATTTAAAGCACACGAGCATTAACTTCACGTCATAGTCAGAATGGTTCATCGTTTTAAAATGTTTAGTTATGAAACTGTACAATTGTCACCCTTACATTTAGACTTTTTTAAGACTGATGACAGTCGGTGTACCAAGAATTAGCTGATAATAGTTTACCACAAAATAAAGAGCCCAGCAGCCCTAAAACATCTCGTTTCAGGCATCTAAAGCTCGAGTGAAGGTCCTGGACCAGGAGCTGCGCGACCTCTCCCTGCAGCACCAGCTGCTGCAGTGCGGCTTCGAGAAGGTAAACCACTGCACCTTTCACCTTTGACCTCCGACCTCCGCTCACCCCGTCGGCTTCCCTCAGGTGGAGCGGGAGCGCGACGAGCTGCTGGAGAAGCAGACGGAGGCCATCCAGGAGGTGCGGCGGAGGAGCGGCCTGAAGCACCTGCTGCTGGAGAGGAAGCTGGCGGCGCTGACCGCCGCTGCCGAGAAGCAGGAAGCGCAGCTGTTCGCCGCGCTGGCCACCTCCGACGTGGAGCCGAGCGCGCGGGCCCGGGCCGCGGACGAACTCCAGGTGGGGCGGATCGTTTTGGTTTAATCCACCTAAATGATGTCACGGCTACAACAGCTGAGCACACTGCAGGGGACGCCGGCAGGTTCTACACTCAGCTGCTTTTCATTCCTTGTGTTGTTCCTTGATCAACCTCCTGGATGTTTCGCTGCTCGCAGGAAATGCTGAAGTCCAAACAAGCCACCATCGACGCCTTACAGGGCGACCTGGCTCGAGACAGTAAGGTCAGTCCATCGAAAAAGGGTTTCATCGTATTCATGTAAGTGTTACAGTTGGTCGCAGTCAGCTGAGTGACAGTTGTGGGTCTGTGTGTGTGGGACCTGCAGGAGTACGACGAGCTGCTGCAGACCTGCAAGGAGAAGCTGCATAACTTGGGGGTCCCTCTGTACGACTTTCCCTTCAGGCCTTCGGAGCAGACCCTGGGGGGACGCGACTCCCTGGGGGGACGCGACTCCCTGGGACCTGCCTCCAAAGAGCGAACCCGTCCAGGTGGAGCTGGCGTCCACTCGCCTCCAGGCTCCACCTGACCTCTCCATCACTTGACCACATGACGTAATGAATGATAAACCTTTAGGTGTTATGTTGTTAAGCAACAAACTGTTTTGGTCATAACACCTTTTGACTCGAGGCATTTATAACTTTTAATATCAAGAGTTTCATCTTGTTTGATACTCATATAGTGTTTTAACTTCTTTGGTGTCACTTTAATTTAATTTTAATTTTTAATGCATTTTTTCACACCACAGAACTTCCTTCCTTTTTTGTCATTTCAAGTCTTCGTCATGAAGCGGTTGCCTGGCAACCAGCGGAGGACATAACTCCACTTAAAATAAAGAAATGTGATCTATGGTTAAACAAGATAATGTGTGTTTGTGGGTTGATACAAAAACACTAATGGGCGATGTGGTACATTCCCTTTACTCACATCAATGTCAATATTTTACATTACATCCAAGCATTGCAAATAGAAAAACTATGCACATCAACATTTACACTTTATATACACACGGTGCACAAACAAACTGAATTCTGGCGACTTATAAACACCACTGAGATGCGAGTCTGCTTCCTCCTCTTACACGTCCGTGAGGCTCAGAGACGTTTAGCGATCAGATCACTTCCTCTCTTTTTGTTTCGGTAATAAAATCAGCTGAGCTGCCAACAGGAGTAAATATTCCCTCTGAATGAATTTTTTGCATCTGCATATTTGTATTTAATTGTAGATTAGAGAACGTCAGAGAGTAAAACTATAGACCAAACCCTCTGTGGTTCTATTCTTTTATCGTTACATTGTAGTAACTGAGCTTCCAAATATTGCATCAGAATTATAAACAGCATTTTCTAATATACTGAGTAGTGATAATCATATAATAATTCATACAGTAGATAAAAAGTGGACACGTCGTCATAAACATGTCAGTAAAATGCAGCGGAGCTGGTGGACACGGTTCAGTATCGGAGTCTGAATATCGTCTCTTATTGAGGTCAACTTAGAGGACAGAAGGACGACTTCTGCGGTTAACATCCTTGGTTGGGGCCGGACATTAAGACAAAACGAGCCTCGTTCAAAGAAGAAGTGGCCATCAGGCCGCGGGCGGGCCGGCGTGGAGGTTTCAGTAAACGGATTGTAGCCGACCAGCAGGAGGACGAAGGACACCTTCACGCCCGTCAGTAGACGAGGACATGAATCCCAGAAGTGACGAAAAGACAACGATTCTCATGTTCAGTTGATAGAAAACTGCCCTTTTTAATATTACACTCAATATATTCTCCCCGAATGCTACAAACTGTCCCTTTAATCTCCCCATGTCCTCCATGTCCCTCAGTGAGACACGTCTCTTAACGTCCAGCTGGGATTCAAACCCTGCCTTTGGTGATGCCTTGCTCTGCTCATTGAAGGGTTGGGATTGGTTATTGGCAACACGTCATAAAGGAGACGGTCCAACGATGTTCTGTATATAATGACATCAGAGAGCTAAAGCAAGTCAACAGTTTGGTATTTTTCTTTAATAAAGTACTTTACTTTGTTTGAATGGGATTGAACCCTCGAGCCTCAGCAGTGTCTCTGCGTTAAGAACAACATATATATATATATATATATATATATATATATATATATATATATATATATATGTATATATGTATATGTATGTTGTTGTTAAATACAGTGGTGTGAAAAAGTTTGGGCACCCCTGATCATTTTCAAGGTTTCCCTTTATGTATCATTGGTTCCGAACAGCAATTTCAATTAAATATATCATATAGCAGACAAACGAAGGGATATTAAAGAAGTGAATGGAAGTTGATAGGGTTTACAGAAAGTGTGCAATAATTACTTGAACAAAAGTAGGTAGATAAGCACCTCTTCTCACTGGCCCAAGCAAGAAGAGTTGTCTGGTGAGACATCTCACTCATATTACTCAGAGAAGTTCTCTTTCATAATACTTCGTTCGATGTCTTAGTATGGGATGTGGTTGCTCCCTTATTGCCAAACAAGCTTATCTAGCGTCCACCAACCTCAGGGAAAAATAATCCCTTCCAATCAGGACAGCAAAACAGCGCGTGCCACGCACGGAGCGGAAACGTCCAGCATATAGAAACGGACAAAAGTGAGCAGTGAGGACCAACTCGCCACCGCACAGATGTCCTGAACAGAAACTGCCTTGAACAAGGCATTACATTACAGTTCATTTAGCAGACACTTTTATCCAAAGCAACTTACATTACACTTTAAACCCATGGCTTTTTGAGCAGGGAGCAAATTAGGGGTTAGGTGTCTTGCTCAGCGACACTTCGACATGGAACATAGTCAGCCTGGACTTGAACAACCAACCTTGTGCTTCACAGCACACCTTCTCTAACCCCTGCGCCACGACTACCCCGTCGTAAAACCTCCTTTGTAAAACAAGCTCAACCCTTGCTTCTCATCAATATCCCTCATAACAAATCCATCCATCCTTTGTCAAAAAAGCTTTGGTTTATCGGCAGCTCCGTCCTCAATATACACGCTAAAATGCAGGTCTCTTTCTTTACCCTTCGATAGCTCAGTTGGTAGAGCGGAGGACTGTAGGCTGATGTTCAATGTGCAATTAGCAGGTATCCTTAGGTCGCTGGTTCAACTCCGGCTCGAAGGACATTTTTATAATGTTGTCCGGTTGGGTTAACAGGTATTTCCTGATCGCAAACCCTTGCTTCTTGTCAATATTCCTCATGACAAATCCATCCATTCTTTGTAAAACAAGCTCAACCCTTGCTTCTCATCAATATTCCTCATAACAAATCCATCCATCCTTTGTAAAACAAGCTCAACCCTTGCTTCTCATCAATATTCCTCATTAAGAATCCATTCATTCTTTGTCAAAAAAGCTTTGGTTTATCGGCAGCTCCGTCCTCAATATACACGCTAAAATGCAGGTCTCTTTCTTTACCCTTCGATAGCTCAGTTGGTAGAGCGGAGGACTGTAGGCTGATGTTCAATGTGCAATTAGCAGGTATCCTTAGGTCGCTGGTTCAACTCCGGCTCGAAGGACATTTTTATAATGTTGTCCGGTTGGGTTAACAGGTATTTCCTGATCGCAAACCCTTGCTTCTTGTCAATATTCCTCATGACAAATCCATCCATTCTTTGTAAAACAAGCTCAACCCTTGCTTCTCATCAATATTCCTCATAACAAATCCATCCATCCTTTGTAAAACAAGCTCAACCCTTGCTTCTCATCAATATTCCTCATTAAGAATCCATTCATTCTTTGTCAAAAAAGCTTTGGTTTATCGGCAGCTCCGTCCTCAATATACACGCTAAAATGCAGGTCTCTTTCTTTACCCTTCGATAGCTCAGTTGGTAGAGCGGAGGACTGTAGGCTGATGTTCAATGTGCAATTAGCAGGTATCCTTAGGTCGCTGGTTCAACTCCGGCTCGAAGGACATTTTTATAATGTTGTCCGGTTGGGTTAACAGGTATTTCCTGATCGCAAACCCTTGCTTCTTGTCAATATTCCTCATGACAAATCCATCCATTCTTTGTAAAACAAGCTCAACCCTTGCTTCTCATCAATATTCCTCATAACAAATCCATCCATCCTTTGTAAAACAAGCTCAACCCTTGCTTCTCATCAATATTCCTCATTAAGAATCCATTCATTCTTTGTCAAAAAAGCTTTGGTTTATCGGCAGCTCCGTCCTCAATATACACGCTAAAATGCAGGTCTCTTTCTTTACCCTTCGATAGCTCAGTTGGTAGAGCGGAGGACTGTAGGCTGATGTTCAATGTGCAATTAGCAGGTATCCTTAGGTCGCTGGTTCAACTCCGGCTCGAAGGACATTTTTATAATGTTGTCCGGTTTGGGTCAACAGGTATTTCCTGATCGCAAACCCTTGCTTCTTGTCAATATTCCTCATGACAAATCCATCCATTCTTTGTAAAACAAGCTCACACCACATTGCTTCTCATCAATATTCCTCATAACAAATCCATCCATCCTTTGTAAAACAAGCTCAACCCTTGCTTCTCATCAATATTCCTCATTAAGAATCCATTCATTCTTTGTCAAAAAAGCTTTGGTTTATCGGCAGCTCCGTCCTCAATATACACGCTAAAATGCAGGTTTCTTTCTTTACCCTTCGATAGCTCAGTTGGTAGAGCGGAAGGACTGTAGGCTGATATTCAATCTGCAATTAGCAGGTATCCTTAGTGTCGCTGGTTCAACTCCGGCTCGAAGGACATTTTTATAATGTTGTCCGGTTTGGGTCAACAGGTATTTCCTGATCGCAAACCCTTGCTTCTCATCAATATTCCTCATAACAAATCCATCCATCCTTTGTAAAACAAGCTCAACCCTTGCTTCTCATCAATATTCCTCATTAAGAATCCATTCATTCTTTGTCAAAAAAGCTTTGGTTTATCGGCAGCTCCGTCCTCAATATACACGCTAAAATGCAGGTCTCTTTCTTTACCCTTCGATAGCTCAGTTGGTAGAGCGGAGGACTGTAGGCTGATGTTCAATGTGCAATTAGCAGGTATCCTTAGGTCGCTGGTTCAACTCCGGCTCGAAGGACATTTTTATAATGTTGTCCGGTTTGGGTCAACAGGTATTTCCTGATCGCAAACCCTTGCTTCTTGTCAATATTCCTCATGACAAATCCATCCATTCTTTGTAAAACAAGCTCAACCCTTGCTTCTCATCAATATTCCTCATAACAAATCCATCCATCCTTTGTAAAACAAGCTCAACCCTTGCTTCTCATCAATATTCCTCATTAAGAATCCATTCATTCTTTGTCAAAAAAGCTTTGGTTTATCGGCAGCTCCGTCCTCAATATACACGCTAAAATGCAGGTCTCTTTCTTTACCCTTCGATAGCTCAGTTGGTAGAGCGGAGGACTGTAGGCTGATGTTCAATGTGCAATTAGCAGGTATCCTTAGGTCGCTGGTTCAACTCCGGCTCGAAGGACATTTTTATAATGTTGTCCGGTTTGGGTCAACAGGTATTTCCTGATCGCAAACCCTTGCTTCTTGTCAATATTCCTCATGACAAATCCATCCATTCTTTGTAAAACAAGCTCAACCCTTGCTTCTCATCAATATTCCCCATAAAGAATCCATTCATTCCTTTGTAAAACAAGCTCAACCCTTGCTTCTCATCAATATTCCTCATTAAGAATCCATTCATTCTTTGTCAAAAAAGGCTTTGGGTTTATCGGCAGCTCCGTCCTCAATATACACGCTAAAATGCAGGTCTCTTTCTTTACCCTTCGATAGCTCAGTTGGTAGAGCGGAGGACTGTAGGCTGATGTTCAATCTGCAATTAGCAGGTATCCTTAGGTCGCTGGTTCAACTCCCGCTCGAAGGACATTTTTATAATGTTGTCCTGTTTGGGTCAACAGGTATTTCCAGATCGCAAACCCTTGCTTCTTGTCAATATTCCTCATGACAAATCCATCCATTCTTTGTAAAACAAGCTCAACCCTTGCTTCTCATCAATATTCCTAATAACAAATCCATCCATCCTTTGTAAAACAAGCTCAACCCTTGCTTCTCATCAATATTCCTCATTAAGAATCCATTCATTCTTTGTAAAACAAGCTCAACCCTTGCTTCTCATCAATATTCCTCATTAAGAATCCATTCATTCTTTGTCAAAAAAGCTTTGGTTTATCGGCAG